AGACACAAAACATGTCACATACTAATATAGTGAGAGCTGTATCTCACCTGTGAGACACAAAACACCTCACATACTAATATATTACACCCCTTATTTAGAAGATAAACTCAGATATTCAAAGATGGCGCAGTCTCCCGCTTTCCTTGATTGGCAAAGTAAATGATGAATATTTTACCAAAATTTTTGTTTTTGTTTCAATCAATACCTCTTTTTGATTCTTTAGATAGAACAATTGCCATTTTATGGGGTGGAAACCCACCTAGGATCCATAAAACCTTTTTGCAAAGGTGTAAACTCAGTGGTGGACTTGCATTACCTAATTTTCAGATATGTTACTGGGCTGCTCACATACTAATGTGTCTTGTTAGGCATGTGTGAATTTCTCTGATTTGCTGAAGAGTTTAGCTTGTTTGCATTGCTCTCTGGTGACATTCTTGGGATTTCCAGCTCTCACTGGTGCAGATGAGTATGAAGAATCTGAGACTAAATGATGTTCAGAGCGGTGGCACGCACTCGCACCTGCCTGAGTCCTGTTAGCCCAGCGGGGGGGATTTGTTCTGTGCTCGTTATCACTAAGGAGCAGCAACTTGTTAAAATGACTGAGCCCTGTTTTGTTCCTGCTCATCTCCAACGCTGCCGTCTGTAAAACAAGTCGCACAAAAGGAAAGAAAAAAAAGAAAAGAATCTGTTCACCAGAAGCTTAAAAAGTGATGTGAGCAGTCCAGTCGGTGGAGCCGTTATTCCGCCCACGTGGAGCTGCAGATGCTTTTGTCACTCCATTACTTTGAGCACTCGCCACAAAACAAGCTCTCACTTCTCTATCAAGCACACATTCGATTACTCTGCGGATCTGACCTGGTCAAACAGCAGCCAGATACCCAACGATCCAGCTAGCTGTGCGCTGCGAACCGGTCCCCGAATGTCTGCTTTATCTGACCTGTAAGCCTCCGTTATTATCAGCTCCTCTCATCTGGATCATCTGGACTGGAATACACCTCAGAGAGCTGTGCAAAACAATAATGCCAAGCGTGTGTGTGCACACACATCAAGAAGCTTGCAGCAACACACACACACAAAAAAAACAAGAGCAGGCCAGAGAACAATGGTCTAATCTGAAGTGTTGCTTTACAGAGAAAGGGGGCTCCTTTTGATTTCTGCTAGAGAAATTCCAGTAAGAGCAGAAATGGGAGAAAGATGCCCAATCGGTGGACAAGCAGAGCTCTCAGCACATTCCAGGAATGCCACGCATTTGACTTTTATACCCATGAGAGAAAGTTTCCAAGAGCCCCTTCTCCAAAGATAACAGCGGCCACATCAGGGCTGCGCTGGCTTCCATTTCCAAAAGGTCTCAAACACAAAAAAAAACACAACATGTCTGAATGAATCCATGCTGGAACGACACCAATAATCAGAAACCCTAACAATGTTATCAATTAAATCTTTCAGTTTCTATACCTAAAGGGGGACTTCTAGAAAAGTCTATTTACTGCTACATCCACTTCTGCTATTCGTGTTTAACTAGCTTAGCACACCAACAAAAAACAAAGTCCACTAAATCCCTGTCCATAACCTGTTCTTCAGTCTTTAAACTGCAAATGAAGGCTTTTTGTTTTTAGAAATTTACAGTTAAGAAGAGTCCTGAAGGTAAACCAAGACATTCCCCTGTTTACGTGTTAGTGCACATGGCGCGTGCTCTCACACTGGGCTGCCAAACGTTGGTCTCCAAGGCACGCGGCCCTGCGTGTTTTCCAGGTTTCCATGTCCTAGCACACCCGATTCACATAAATGGCACAGCCCTCCAGCCCTCCAACTCTCCGGGCTCTACAGGAGACCACCCGCTCCTCTTAAGCCGGCGTGCTGGAGCTGGGAAACCTAGAAGGACCAGGATTAGAGGACACTGGCAGGGGAAAAAACACCTGTAACTCAGATACAGGTAGGAGCCAGAAACACCTTGAGTTTGAGGTTAGTTCCCACTGGACAAAGACTGAAAGGCTACCAGAATATTGTCAAAATTGTTTTGCCAAACCGCTAACAATAAGTAAAAGTAACACACAAAAATAAACTAATTTAAATATCCTGCCTCGGCTCAAATCATTGCTCTTTCTCAAGCTGGTAGTCGTCCAATTAACCATTTTATACCACTGGTTTATCGGTGGCAGTCCTGACGTGCACGGCCACTGAATCTGGAGATAAGGCCTTCGCCTGATGCCCTGCCAGGTTTTCTCTGTCAAATATTTATAGAAGCTGAAACGTTAGATGGCCACCAGCAGACTTGAGCCTCTCAGCAAAAGAAGCCAAGCAAGCCAGGGGCAGAAGGAGAACCAAACCGGTTGATTTTCCTCCTAGAAAACCACCAAATTTACTATAGATGTCTTCAATCCGCTTATAAAATAACTGTCCGGCTTTACTGGAAATGGGGGGGGGTTAGGGGTGGGGGGTTGCTGGGAAATTTAACAACCATCTCTCGCATGAATGCTGGGTAGTTTTCCCCAAATGGTTTCAAAGCATGGTCACGAAACACCCAACCGAGGAGAGGCTTTGGTTGACTTTGACGGCTCCATTTAAAGAGCCAACTGTTACCGGGCTAGTTTTTAAGCTAGCAAACATTTTTGACAGCTTCGCAAAGTTTCTGGAAACATCCGCAAACGCGACGAAAACCACCTCCATTGTCTCTGGACTCATTCCTTACCGGTTCCCAACACATTTAATGGCTGGGGAATAAAGTTTATATAAACTGTTGTGGGGACTGACAGTAAAACAGTCTGGTTATGGGAAATAAAAATAACTACCGGGGCTCCGAGGACTGGACCGTTGGAGAACCAACGGTCCGAGCTGAGGGCAGCCGAGTTTGGCTAAAATTAATTTAAAAAGACGTCAAAACAGACACAAAACGCGAAATATAAACACACAACATAATTCAGAGTCAGATACCGGGTGTATTAGCCCTCCATGAGTCGCAGCTTTTTTTCTAAAGGCAGCAACAGACTGACGGTGACTGACCTCCCGGAGCCTGTCACAGCCCGGCAGGACACACTTTAGAGGCCCAAAAGAAAGCCTCCGTGGCGGGCAGAAGCCTTTACCTTGCCTCCCTGGTAGCCCTCCAGCGCCCTCAGCGCGCTGTCAGTGAGTTTGACGTGGAAGACGGTGACATTGCTCCCGTTGCTCACTCTTCCACAGGACAGTCCGTAGCTCCGCTCCTCCTTCAGCGCCGCCATCTTGCCGCCGTTCCCACCACGCGCACGGGCACACGCGCGCACGCGCCCTGTCGTAAAAAACCCCACACAAAGTCTCGTCGCTTTTTCAATGAATATTCAGCGGTGATGACGAAGAAGGAAAGCCCGATACGGGCATGTTTAATCCACTTAATACCAGCGCCTTTTTCCAATAACACCGCTCAGTCCCGGTCATATTCCCCCGAATTTATTCACCGTCTGTCATTTTTCTGAGCCCGGAAAACTTTCTGTCAACCACTCAGTCCATCTCCATAGATATGATAACTAACTCCGTTTTTCCCTGGCGGACAGCAGACTCCCGGCAGCGAGCAGAAACCAGCGGAGCCCATCACTAATGCGTAGGAAGAGGGAAAAGATGGGTCATTTAATTACGTCAGCCGCGCGTCAATGTCCGGAGGAAAAAAGGGGAAAAACGCACCCGCCGTCAGCGGATATCCACCACCCTCCGGAATGTCCAGCTGTAAACAAATTCATTTATGGGAAACCGCTTTACAAGCTCCACAAGTTCATTAGTAGATGTTTTACAAGATAGCTGTCGAGGGCAGGAATATGCAAATCTGACCCTAGGGTCATGTTTATATATATTTGAATGGAGGGTTTGCCAACCCCTGATACCCATAATAAGCTGTCTACTTCTTTACCTTCTCCTTTGCAAAGGTCAGAAAACTTATCTGGTGTTATATACAGAGCCATATATTTGCACTCTGATGGGCAATGGACACCCTTTAAACTCATTTCAGAGCAGTCTGCAACTTCCAAGTCATTAAAAAATAAATCAAAGTAGGCAACAGTTCAATTAGACATATTTTATTGTGATAAATACAAAAACAAAAACTAATCCAGGGAATGCCAGGAACTTCTCCGACAAGTTATTGTCAGAAAATATTTAATGATTACGCAACATTTGGCTCTAGTAGATACATTTGCGTTGTGAAATATTCAAAAGGAGGAAAATAAATAAACACACAAAAGAACCCAATCTGAAGACCCCCCCCCATGCAGGATTACAGTGTATGCAAGACGTCGTTCCACATTTGGTCCAAAGAAACAAAAACAGGTGTGACTGACACAAATCAAGTAGTAAAAATAAACTCTTCCTCCAACTCCAATCCAAACTTCATCATGACATTATTATTATTACTTTTGTTACGATAAAAAAAGCCTTCAGTTGGGAATTGAAACCCTGTTTTTTGGTCGACAGGATCAGGAGATTCATTCATGGCATTTCCATCTCTTTAGGAATGTGGACCTGATATCTTCTGAGTCTCTTCATTGGGAATGCTGTACCATAGAAAGGGGAAATCACACCTCTTGGATAATATTAATTTACAAGCACAATCTAAAGATTTGAAAAACATAGCTGAGTTTAAGGACCGTACTACAATAGAAATGTCTTTATGTCTGAGTAAGAATAAAAACAATGATCTGAACCTGCCCTCAGCTACTTTTCACACGTTTAGCTCTGAAAGCTGACGACAAAAACAAAACAAAACAAAACAATGGCGGCAAAAGAAAACTGGCAACGTGACAGAAAAAGGCATAATCCTACACATGAACAAGGCTGGAGAGACTTCTTCCACATGGAATTACTGCTGATTTCTTATGCGTTTCTGTTGGTTCTCAAACATAGCAGAGAAAGAGAGAGAGAGACTGTGGCCGACTGGCTTTTCCGAACCCCCTTGGACAAAAGGTCAGGAGGTGCTGCCAGATGTGCTCCAGTGTTTTGGGCTCCTCCGCTGCTTGCCATGGTTTCTCTGCGGGTCGGATTCAGTTTCTGGCAGCTATGACGACAGATAAAGCTACACCTCCGATGGCCACCGCCGTGGCACCGAAAAGCCACTTCCAGCTGAGGCCCTGCAGGAGGAGGAGAGGGGAGTTCGATCTTTAAAAAGGCCGATGACACACAGAGGCACTGAACCAGAGACGTATAAAGTACTGGAGTAGAAGTACAAGTACTATATAAAAACAGTGATTTCAGTAAAAGTTGAAGTGTTCTTTCATCTCCATACTTAAGTGGAAGTGCGGAAGTACTCCATTTTTTTTTTACTTAAGTATTGCAAGTAAAAGTATTTCAAAAATTGCTACTCAAGTATCCAAAGTACAAGTAAAAGTACCAGTACAGTGTATATAAAAAAAAGGCAGTCAAAAGTTTGATAGATATTGTTTATATTACTTCAAACGTGTGAAAGGCAGAAAACTAAACACAAATAAAGCATCTTAAGTTAAGCCTGGTGGTAAAACCTTATGATGGAACAGAAGCATCAACATGAGGCATCAAGCTCTTCCACCAACAGAATAACCACGGCCTCCAGGTAAACTAACCAGGTTTGGCTCTTAACCACATACTTAGAATTCACCCATTAGCTAACAGACTATTTCACCATCTTTCGGGAGGCTTTTTTTTTTATAGGCTATGCTTGATGGATCAAATCGGCCAATGAGGAGCCAGCTTCCCAAACCCTGACAGAGCTATCTACAGCTCTGGCTCTGACTCTATGACTGGGGATGATTTATTACGTTTACATATCAGTAACCAGTAACGACTCAGCCCGTGAAAGTAAAAGTAAAAGTATTAAATTAATCAAAAATATGTATAGTGGAGTAAAAGTAAAAGTAGGGAAAAATATATATATACTCCAATAAAGTACAGATATTGCATTTTGGTACTTAAGTACAGTTCTTAAGTGGTTCTACTTCATTACTGTGCATCTCTGCAGTGAGCAGCACAGGTTGCTTCTGGTTCTTTGGTGGTTCTGTGTAATTCCAGGAGCACCTGGTTCAGGTTTAAGGGATTAAAGGGCGTCTCACCCATGAAGACTTGGCTCCTGAACGCTGCACGCCGCCGCCGCTACTGCTGGGGTTGCCCAGCATCTTCTTATACATGGCCTGCTCCGCTCCCCTTTGCTCCGAGTTCTTCTTCACCAGCTTAGAGAGCTCAGCGTGGATCGTCTACAGAACGGAGATAAGACAAAAAGCTGGCAGCGGTTCAACTTCCCAACTCCTCCGGCCTGCAGGCAGCTAGCTCCCGCAGAGGCATAACCAACAACCCAAGGCTGGTAGCAATGTTTGAGAAAGAAACTGGCTCTAAAAGCTCAGAAAATGTGTGACAATATTCTATTTATTCGGTTATTGTGGGTTAACTCGACAGTGACAATGAGCTTAACATTAACTAATACAGAACAAATGCTTAAGCCGCTCCTGCCCAGAAATCACAGGCTTGCATCGCAGAATTAGCCTGCAGTTTAGCCCACATGTCCACACATTTATTCCAGGATATGGGTTCGGTTATTGTTCCAGCATTGGGCTCAGATGTGAGTCACCGCTCTGCTCTTAAAGCTGGAGGGTGACTAAGCAAAGCAATTTTATCGTAGACGCACAACAAAAAAAAAAAGCCTTATCTTTTGTAAAACGCTTCGGAAAAGGCCGGGAGCTATTACAGTTTACAAAAATGATCACTTAATCCTGATTTAATGTTTTGAGCACAGTTTAACTACAGATCTGCAAAGAGTGAGGAGTCAGAATCTGTCTGTCTGCAAATACCCAGCAGAGAGTAAAATAAAGATGCTCACGCTCCAGCAACTATGAATGTTACTGTAAAACCAAATATCCCCCAAAAGGACCAAAAGGATAAACATTTACATGTACCAGAGGGGGGGGGGGATGAAGTAAGATCTGCTACATGCTCTCTTTAGGGCATCTGTTTGCTAAAAGCCTGCAATGAAAACTGAAAAAACAACGACTAAACTGGAAATGTCAAGTCTGCGTGTTAATTCCTGAAGTAAACAAACCAGACAAATAAATCTCCC